CTCTAGTCCTCTGTGGCTATGTCACTGACTCTGGGCCCAAGAGTCCAGGGGTTATTTTTTATTTAAGGTGTAAGGATTATCTCAGGGCTGAAGTTCACCTAGCCTCCATGTTTCCAGAAAATCTAGAGTCTATATAAGTTTATATTTTTTAAATGTACCCCAAGTGATTCTAATGGGCAGGCATAGTTGGAAGTTACGTTTGGTCGGGTCTTGAGTCTCACTGTAAGGATTTTGGACTTAATTCTAGCCATAAAGGTAATCCATTTGGAGGGCAAGACATGATCTCATTTACGTTTAAAATTTTCTTTTTGGCCATTGTCTGGATGTTAGACTGTAGAGAGGTAAGAGGAGGAACATTATTTTTAAGGATTTTTACCTCCAGCAAGAGATGATGGTGTGTTGGCTCAAGGTTGTAATGGTGGTGAAGATAGGAGGCAACTGAGTCCAGATACATTTTGGAGCATGAATTAGCATATGAGAAATCAGATGGACAGGATGGAGGGTATGGAGAGTCAGAGATTGTTCAGGATATATTGACTGAGCACATGGAGATGATACTCCCATTAACTGAGGTGGGGAAGACTTGGGAGTAGCAGGTGTGCAAAGTTCCATTAGGCTTCCAAGTGGAAATGTCAAGTAGACTACTGTGGGCACAAGTTCAAACTCAGGGGAGAGATCAGGATTGGAGATACATACTTGGAACTACTCATTATGTATGGCATTTAATGCTTGAGATTGAATGAGATCACTTGCCAAGGGTGTACAGAAAAATGAAGATAAGGTGACAGAAGACAAAAACCTTAGCTTAGCAGCTGAGCAGACAAGGAGGAGTCTAAGAAATAGGAAGGAAACCAGAAGAAGGTGCATCATGGAAGCCAAGAAAAAAAAGATCTTCAAAGAGAAGTGAGTAGTCATCTCTGTCAAATATTACTGAAGATTCAAATTAAAGGACAGAGAATTGTCTACTGGATTTTAAAAGATGGAGGTTATTGATGAACTTAATAAAATTTATATGAGTGCATGCTTACTAATGTATCATAGAAAGATTCCCTTATACTAGTTGTCTATTACTATTATTACATGATTTTGATTATTTTATTGTTTATTTAATTCAGTATAGATTTTTGGACTCTAAGGGCAACCCAGAAGCCTTTGCCCTCCTCCTCTGATCTGAGTCCTATGTAGAGTGTACTTGGAGTCACAAATTACAGACTTTCTCTTTAGTCACAATCGCTTCCTGTGTACCCATCATTCCAAGACTGTTCATACCTAACCATCAAATATAAAGGAGGTAAAGAACATGGTTACAAACCTGGGTGCACATCAGAATCACCCATGGGGAACATTGAATATATGTATAGATTCCCAGCTACCACCTCCTGCAATCCTCCTAGATGATCTGATTCCATTGGCTTGGGCTAGAAACCATGGATGACTTTGATGATCAGTCTAATATAAAAATCACTGGCCTAGAAGCTTCATTTCAACTCATACCCTTTCCTTTATTTCTATTGCTATGTGGTATAATCAGCCTGACCTCCTTGGTTCTTTCATTTACCAACACACTATATTTTCTGGAGCACCACAAAACCCAGAGGACCATAGACTCCGTAAGGCCAACTGTGGACCATATCATCAATTGCTCATAGGATAGTCAAGTTCAGGCTGAAGATGAAGAAAATTAAAACAAGTTCACAAGAGCTGAAATATGACCTTGAATATACCCTATCTGAATTTAGAGACCATCTCAAGATTTGATGCATTGGACAACAATTACTGAAGAGCGGAAGAGCTGTGGGATGACATCAATGACGTCATACCGGAAGAAAGCAAAAGGTCATTAAAAAGGAAAGAAAGAAAACACCAAGATGGATGTCAGAAGAGACTCTGAAATTTGGTCTCCAGTGTTGTTGTTGTTGTTGTTGTTGTTGTCAGGTGTCATTGAGTCGGAACCGACTCATAGTGACCCCATGCACAGTAGAATGAAACAATGTCTGATCCTGGGCCAACCTCACTACTGCCGCCACGCATGATGCCATCAATGATGCCACCTGGCTGATCCATCTCGTTGGGGGTTGTCCTCTTTTTCTCTGATCCTCCATCTTACCCAGCATGACATTCCTCTCCAGTGACTGTTCCCTCCTGACAATATGTCCAAAGTATGAGAGACGAAGTTTAGTCATCTTGGCCTCCAAGGAGCATTCTGGCTGCTCTTCCAAAACAGATCTATTGGTTCTTTTGGCAGTCCATGGCACCTTCAGTATTCTCCTCCAACACCACACAATTCAAAGGCATCAATTCTTCTATGATCTTCCTTATTCACCGTCCAGCTTTCGCATCCATATGAGGTTATTGAAAATACCATGGCTTGGGTCAGGTGCACGTTAGTCCTCAAGGTGACATCTTTGCTCTTCAACACTTTAAAAAGTTCCTGTGCAGCAGATTTGCCTAATGCAGTACGTCGTCTGATCTGTTGACTGCTGCTTCTGAGAATGTTGATAGTTGATCCAAAAAGAATGAAGTCCTTGACAACTTCAATCTTTTCTCTGTTGTTAAGAATGTTGTTTATTGGTCCAGTGGTGAGGATTTTTGTTTTCTTGACATTGAGATGCAATCCATACCGAAAACTGTGTTCCTTGATCTTCATCAGTAAATGTTTCAAGTCCTCTTCACTTTCAGCAAGCAAGGTGGTATCATCTGCATATCGCAGGTTGTTAATGAGCCTTCCTCCAATCCTGACGCCATGTTTTTCTTCATAGAACCCAGCTTCTTGTATTATTTGCTCAGTATACAGGTTGAATAAGTATGGTGAAAGAACACAACCCTGTCGCACACCTTTCCCAATTTTAAAACATTCAGTGTTCCCATGCTCTGTTCGTACAACTGCTTCTTGGTCCAGAAATCTCCAGTGTAGAGGTGCTAAGATGAGTAGAAGAAATGAGGAGGTAAAAGAGAAAAACTGAAAATTTCAAAGAGCAGCTCGAGAAGACAAAGATAAGGATTATAAGGAAATGTGCAAAGACAGAGTCAGAAAACCAAAAGGGTAGAACACGCTTGGGATTTTGCAGGCTGAAAGAACTAAAGAAAAGATTCAAGCCACTATTGCAATATTGAAGGATCCTATGGACAAAATGGAATCCTGTTGTGGCGCTGTGGGTTAATGTGCCAGACTGCAAAGCTGTTTGAACTGCAAGGTTGGCAGTTCAAGCTCACCAGCTGCTCTTCAGAAACCCTATCCAGGGTCACTATGGGTCAGCATCTACTCGATGGCACTTAACAGCAACAACAGATGGGCAAAATACTGAATGATGCAGAAAACATCAAAAGAACATGGACGGTGTTCACAGTCACTGTATTGACAAAGAAATGGTGGATGTTCAACTATTCAAAAAGGTAGTATATGATCAAGAACCAATAGTACTGAAGGAAAAAGTCTAAGGTGCACTGAAGGTGAAAAACAAGACTCCAGGAGTTGATGGGATGCAAATTGAAATCTTTCAACAAATTGATTTAGCACTGAAGGTGCTCATTCATCTATGGCAAGAAATTTGCAAGATATAGTACCTGACCAACCCTTTGGAAGAGATCTCTATTTGTGTCCATTCCAAAGAAATGTCCTAACAGAATGCAGAAATCATTGAATAATATTAATATCACATGCAAGTAGAATTTTACTGAAGATAATTCTAAAATTGCTGCAGCAGTACATTGACAGGGAACTAGAAGAAACTCAAACTGGATTCAGAAGAGGGCATGAAACTAGGGATAGCATTGCTGACATCAGATGGATTTGGCTGAAAGCAGAAAATTCAAGAAAGATGTTTAATTGTGGTTTCTTGACTACACAAAGGCTTTTGACGGTGTGGGTCATGAGAAGCTATGGATAACATTTGAAGAATGGGTATTCCAGAACACTTGATTGTGCTACTGAGAAATCTCTACATAGACCAAGAGCCAATCATTCGACGAGACAAAAAAGGATACTGCATAGTTTAGAATTAGGAAAAGTGGCTGGCCCACGCACGCCTGCCGCTCCCCGCCCCTCCGGCCTGTGCATGCCCGCCACCCCGCCCGCTGGCCCTTAACTTGTTGACACTTAACAACAACATACAAATGGATGTCACCAAATGGAATACATAGAAATCAGTTGACTATGTCTGTGTGATGAGATGGTGGAAAAGCTGCAAGTCATCATTCAAAACAAGGCCAGGGGCAGACTGGAAAAGACCATCACTTGCTCATATGCAAGTTCAGATTGAGCCTGAAGATTAAAACAAGTCCACAAGAGACAAACTATGACCTTGAACATATCCCACCTGAATTTAGTTGTCATCTCAAGAACAGATTTGATGCATTAGATGCTAATGACTGAAGACCAGAACATTTGTAGGGTGACATCAAGAGCATATCATATAGGAAGAAAGCAAAAAGTCATTAAAAAAACCAACAACAACAAGAAAGAAGTAAAAGAATGAAATGGATGTCAGAGGAGAGACTCTGAAACTTTCCTTCCAGCATAGAGATACTAAAGCAAATGGAAGAAGTGAGGAGGTAAAATAGCTGAACAGAAAAATTCAAAGGACAGCTCAAGAAGATAGAGTCAAGTAGTATAATGAAAGGCATAAAGATCTGGACTTAGAAAACCAAAAGTAAAGACTATGCTCATCATTTCTCACACCAAATGCACTGAAGAAAAAATTCAAGCCTCGACTTGAAATATTGAAGGATTCTATGGGCAAAATATTGAACGATGCAAAAAGCATCAAAAGAAGAGGGAAGGAAAACAGAAATGGTTGATGCTCCACCATTTGAAGAAATAGCATATGATCAATAACTAATGGTACTGAATGAAGAAGTTCAAGGTACACCGAAGGCATTGACAAAGAACAAGACTTTGGGAATTGATGGAAATACAAATAGCAATATTTAACAAACTGATGCAGCACGGGAGGCACTCACTCATTTATGCCAGGAAATTTGGAAGACAACTATCTGGCCAACTGACTGGAAGAGATCCACACTTGTGCCCATTCCTGAGAGGGGTGACCCAACGGAATGCTAATATCATTGAACAATATCATTAATATCACATGCAAGTAAATTTTTGCAAAAGATAATTCAAACTCAGCTGCAATCAACAGGAAACTGCCAGAGGTTCAAACCAGATTTAGACAAGGATGTGAAATGAGAGTATCACTGCTGACATCAGATGAACCTTTACTGAAAGCAGAGAATACTAGAAAGATGTTTGTCTGTGCTTTATTGACTAGGCAAAGTTTTTCCAATTGTGTGGATCTTGACAGGCTACGGATAATATTGCAAAGAATGAGTATCCCAGAACACTTAATTGTGCTCATAAGGCAGTTGTTCAAACAGAATAAGAGGGCACTGAATAGCTTAAAATCAGGAAGGGTATGCACCAGGGTTGTGTTCTTTCATCATACTTATTTAGTCTGTATGCTGAGCAAATAATCCAAGAAGCTGGTATATATGATGAAGAACATGGCATCAGGATTGGAGGAAGACTCATTAACAACCTATAATACACAGTTGATACAACTTTGCTTGGTGGAAGTGAAGAGGACTTAAAATACTTACTAATGAAGATCAAAGACCACAATGCCTTATAAATGGGTTGCACTTCACTGTAAAGAAAACAAAGATACTTACAACAGGACTAATAAATAACATCATGATAAATGGAGACAAGTTTGAATTTGTCAAAGACTTCATGTTGCTTGCATCCGCTATCAACACTCATGGAAGCAGCAGTCAAGAAATCAGATATATTGCATTAGGCAAATCTTCGGCACAATACAACTTTAAAGTGTTCAAGAGCAAATATGTCAGTTTGAGGACTAAGGTATGCCTGACCCAAAGCATGGTATTTTCAGTAGGCTCATACGCATATTAAAGTTATACAATGAATAAGGAAGACCGTAGAAGAATTGATGCGTTTGAGTTATGGCGTCGGAGAAGACTGCTAAAAGTACCATGACTCCTGAAAAACCCAAACAAATCTATGTTGAAAGAAGTACAATTAGAGTGCTCCTTAGAAGTCAGGATGGAGAGATTTCATCTCTTATATTGCAGACATATTATCAGGAAGACCCAGTCACTGGAAAAGAACATCATCGTTGGTAAAGTGTAGTAAGTAGGGTCAGCAAAAAAAGAGGAAAATGTGTTTGTACAGTGGCAGCAGCTAGGGACTTAAGCAAAACAATGATTGTGAGTATGACCCAGTATGGGACAGTGTTTTGTTCTGTTGTGCATTAGTTGGAACTGAATCTACAGCAACTAACATTAACAATTATGATGTTATATTAAGTAGCTTTTCACATATTGGACTATGGAGTAATTATCAGTTATGACCTTCCCAATCATGTTTTGTAAAAGGTGTATATAATCAAGTAAATCATTACAATGTTTTTTAAATGAATTTTTTTTGTACCATGGCTTTATTATATTGTATTAATTTGTGTTTAAATATCTTCTTAATTTCAGTTTTCTAGTTTTGCACACATGACTGGTCAGAAGAGTTTAACAAGCACAGAGATCATGAGAATTCAAAGAGAGACAGATTTTCTCAAGTAAGTATTGCTGTTGAGTTGTTTGACTCATGGCAACCCTGTATAGGGTTTCCGAGGATTGGCTGGTGAGCTTGAACCACTGACCTTGCGGTTCAAACTGACCTTGCAGTCCAGTGCATTAACCTGCAGCACCACACCAGGGCTCTTAGAAGCTGACAAATTCTAAGTCCATTGGTCAGATGTCATACTGGAGGCTTTTCTGACTCATAGCTACAGGGGTTGAAGAACCAAAGATTGTCAGGTCAGACAGCAGGCAGCTGGCTACAGAGGTGAATGAATCCAAGGTTAGCTACTGACTCACAGCCTACAGATGTTAATGACTCTCTAATCAGCAGACAATACAGCAGGCCTCTGGCTCATGTTCAAAGAACTGGAGGTCAGGTGATAAGCCAGATGTAGGCTCCATATCCACTAAAAAGCAAAAGAACTTTACCAGAGCTTCCACATCGATTGGAAGCAGGCAACAAACCCCTGAGGAAACTCCTTTCCAATTGATTGGCTGTTTATAGAAGATCATGGAATGGAATTGAGGTCCCAGAAGTTAATCCATTTATATACAGTCAACTGATCTTTGACAAAGACCCCAAACACATTAAATTGGGAAGAGATAATCTCTTCCATAAATGGTTCTAGCAAAACTGGAAATCGATTTGCAGAGGAATGAAACAAGACTCACACCTCACACCGTATACAAGAACAAAATCAACATGGATTAAACACCTAAATGTAAAACCTAGACTATAAAGATCAACAATGAGAACCTAGGAACCTAGGAGCACAACTCAGGGACTCTACTACAATGAGAACCTAGGAACATGCTCAGGGACTCTAATACATGGCATACACATACTATTAAACATTACAAAAACCTCATAAGAAGTAGAAGTCAAATAGATGCCTGGGACCTCCTAAAAATTAGAAACTATGTGCAGCAAAAGTTTTCCCCAAAAGTGCATAAAGGGAGCCCCCAGCCTGGGGCTGTGGATTGAAACATAGGCTTAATGGATATGTGAGGAAGAATAAGATATATATACCTATACATCACAGAAATATGAGGGTGAGTCAAAAAATATCCGCACTCTAGCTGTAGAATTTATTTTAACCAACTTTTAGAAATGACGAATATATAATTTTTGACATAATCCCCTTCAGGTTGGAAGGTAATCAAAATGCAACTTGGGAAGAGCTGCCCCCTCAAAATGTTGACTGTGATAATGCAAATGGAGTAAAGTTTTCGGGACCTTCATTTGCTGATGGCACACAACTCAAAATAAGGACTAATAGCTGCAAACATCTATTTATAGTCAGAACATGGAATGTATGGAGTATGAATATAGGAAAATTGGAAGTTGTCAAAAATGAAATGGTACATTTAAAGATCAATATATCCTAAGCATTAGTGATCTGAAATGTATGGGTACTAGTCAGATTGAATCTGACATTCATATGGTTTAATATGTCAGGAATGACAAATTCAAGAGAAACAGAGTAGGATTCATCATTAAAAAGAACATTTCAAGATCTATCTTGAAGTATAATGCTGTCTGTGATAGAATAATATCCATACACCTACAAGGATGACCTATTAATACCAGTATTATTCAAATTTATGTACCAGTCATTAAAGCCAGACCCAAAAAATACAAGCAAGATTTTCCCAAGCATCCAGTGTATTAGAAGCAGGCAACACCCCTGAAGAAATGTCCTTTCAGTTGATTGGCTGTTCACAGCAGATCTCATCATGGAGATGATTACATTGTATTTGTCTCAACCACCAAGACACTGAGAATCCTCACCCAGCATGTTGGCACACAACCTGAATTATCACAACCCTTTGTTGTTGTTGTTGTTAGGTGCTGTTGAGTTGGTTCAGACCTTATGCAAAACAGAATAAAACACTGCCAGGTCCTCCATCATCCTCACAATTGTTGTTGCATTTGAGCCTATTGTTGCTGCCATGTGTCAATCAATCTTTGTGGGGCCCTTCCTCTTTTTTTGTGGGCCCTCTATATTAGCAAGCATGGCACGATCCATTTTTTTGACATGTCCGAAATATGCGAAATGAAGTCTCTTCATCCTGGCTTCTAAGGATCGCTTCTTCCAAAACAGATTATCAACCCCCTCTGGCAAGCTCTGAGTCCTGGTTTGGTGGTATAGGATGAGCACTGGACTGATAAGTGCAAGGTCAGCTGTTCAAACCCACCAGTCACTCTCAGAAACCTGATACAAGATTGCTATGAGTCACAACCAACTTGATGGCACATAGCAACAACTAGCAGACTCTTATTTATCCTGTACTGTCTAGCTTTGGTCACACCATTTTTGACGTATCCCTGTGCTTTACATTCACTTGCTATTCATGTTGTTGTTGTTATGTGCTGTGGAGTCGGTTCCGACTCATAGCGACCCTACACAGGGTTTCATAGTGCATTTAAAACAAAACAACAACAAAAAAAACTTGTCTTATTATTTTGTTGTTTTGCAACATGTTTTTTATGGTTGTTCTTCATTAATCTGCGCTCTTACAGGGAAATTTTAAGTCTCTTTTCATCCCTTTTCTGTCTTCAGAGCTGATGCTTATTCTCCCATTTGTTGAATGAATGGAAAGATAAAAGCAATGAGATAGACTATTCTTTGGACTGCTGAGTAGCACCTCATGAGCTTTGAGAATAGAAAGAAGGAGACTTTTTGTCCTGGTGGACCCAGAAAGAAGACATGTTGAAATGTTGGTAATATGATCTGGGGAGGAAGGACAGAAGGAGATAAAGAGTGTGAGAAGTGAACTCAATTACAAAGGCTGATGGTAGTTGGGAGGCCATGGTGGAGACTGGTACAGGCAACTAAGCAATTCTCTGCACAGTATCCAAACATCAGAGGAGTTGAGTGACTAGACAGATAAGTCACCGGATGAGGGGCGAAATTGGCCTGAAAAGGCATAGGTACAACAGTGTTTTGATTATTAACAGTATTAAAAGGCAATGCAATTCCAGGAATACATTCACTTTGACTGATAGAACTCAGGCAGCTGGGAGCTAAATGATTTGGATCCAACTGCCTATGAAAGGGAACCAGATGTTGCTGGGCAGGGTCATGAAATTCTAACTAGGTAGGCAAAGACAAAATCAGAGCCTGAGTGATGGCTAGCCTCTAGAGTATCAAGTAAAATGACCTGTTATTCTGACTGGGATCATTTGTCAGGCAGGAAGTTAGAAAAGTTGTTCTTATTAGGTGCCATCGAGATGGTTCCAACTCCTAGTGACCTTATGCACAACAGAACAAAACACTGCCCGGTCCTGTTCCATCCTCACAGTTCTTGTTAAGCTTCTGCTCCTACCACTGTGAATCCATCTTGTTGGCGGTTCCTTCTTTTTCGCTGACCTTCCACTTTACCTAGCATGATGTCTTTCTCCAGGGACTGGTCCTTCCTGATAACCTGTCTGAAGCGTGAGAGGTGAAGTCTTACCATGCTGTCTTCTAAGGAGCATTCTGGCTATACTTCTTCCAACACAGATTTGTTTGCTCTTTTAGCAGTCTGTGGGACTTTTAATATTCTCCTCCAACACCATAAGTAGAATGCATTAATTTTTCTATGGTCTACTTCATTCACTATCCAACTTTACCTTGAATATGAAGACATTAAAAAATACCATGGCTTAGGTCAGGTGCATATATTAGTCCTCAAACTAACATCTTTGCTCTTCAAAACTTTAAAGAGGTCTTGTGCAGCAAATTAGCCTAATGCAATGTGTCATTTGATTTCTTGAACACTACTTCCATGAATGTTGATAGTTAATCTAAGCAAAATGAAGTCTAACAACTTCAATCTTTGCTGCATTTATCATGATGTTAATTATTGGTCCAGTGATGAGGATTTTTGTTTTTTTCACATTGAGGTGCAACCCATGCTGAAGGCTATGATCTTGGATCACCATCAGTAAGTATTTTAAGTGGTCTTTGCTTTCAACAAGTAAAGGTTATATCATCTACCTATCAATGATTGTTAATGAATCTTCCTCCAATTCTGATGCCCTGTTCTTTATCATATAATCCAGCTTCTCTGATTATTTGCTCAATATACAAATGAATAGATATAGTGAAAGAATACAATTCTGGTTCACACCTTTCCCAATTTTAAACCATTCATTGTTCCCTTGTTCTGTTTGAACGACTGCCTCTTGGTCTATATGCAGGTTCCTCATAAGTACAATTAAGTGTTCTGGAATACTTTGCAATGTTGTCCATAGCTTTTCATGATCCACATATTTCAAAGCCTTTGTGTAGTCAATAAAGCACAGATAAACATCTTTCTGGTATTATCTGCTTTCACCTAATATCTATTATGTGATAATTTTCATGGGAGAACATTAGCTTCACATCCTGTCATGTATCATTCCCTTGCCATGGTTGTAATCCCCTCCATGCATCATCCATCATCCAAATGGTATACCCTGCAAGCCTGACCCCCGGTCGTCCGCACACAGCCCCTCTCCCTCTCTGGGTCCAAAGTCCCCAGCTACTCCATCTCCCCTCGTAATCGTCTCTACCTGCATATCTGGCACCACTGCTTCTCTGGGTAGGGTTCCATTCTCCACTCTTCTCACTTGATGGTCCCAGGGACCTCCGCTCCTAGACTGAAAAGTTAATCACTCCCCTCCCTTTGCCACAAAACGTCTACCTTTACATTTCCAGCCCTTGCAATCAGTCCTGATAACAATTATTCACTATTGTATTTGCAAGACACCTATCCGCATCTCCTTTCATCAGCCCCGACTAGACAGATTGGATACTACTCAGTGGAGATTCTACCTTGCTCCATGCCTTCTGGATCTAGGTTACCTCTTGAAAGCTTGTAAGACCAGTCACTTATTGCCTCTGTAGCCCCCCAATTCTGGGTAGCCAATGTCCAAGTTGCCCTTCCCTGTCCTCTCCGTGTGCGGAGGGGATGGAAGTGATCCTTGCTGTGAAGATATGTTCCCTCTTTTGAGCTATTGCTTCCATAG